TGAGGTTGACCCTGAGATAAGTGACCTGGAGTACACTCCCACGGACACCGAAGCTCAACCATCTACAATGGCTTCTCCCGGACAACCTGATGGACAACAACAGCCCGCTTCGGAGCACGCTGCTCGATCCGCACCCTCACGACCTTGACGTGAAGAGCCGCAACGAGAGCCACCTGATTCACTTCCTCCTGCACAGGAAGCAACCGAGGATCAACATGATCAAGATCCCCTTCCTTCAGAAGTTCCTGATGATCCACCTGAACCACTACAAGAACAAGTTGGACCTCAACAGTTGGAAACAGAAGAAAATGAAGATGAAGATGAAGAACCAATGGGCGAACCAGCACACATGCAAACGCCCAAGGCACCTCGTGATCCTGCTGATCTTCCTGCAGTCCCGGAGGACCACGATTTGGATCAACCTCCTGAAGCACCACCGACTTCATCACAAAGTCAAATGCCAGTGGATGCCACCTACATCCCTCCTGCTGTGCCTGAAAGCTTTCAAGATCGACGACGACGCTTCGATCAGCAGGAAACCATTTGGACAAGAAAGAAAGCTCGCACTGACGAGCCAGAGGTTGAAGTTGGCCTCCACTCCATGGACTTCTCCAAGACCACTCTTCCAGAAGGCTGGACCTATGACAAGAAGAACAACGAGTTTGTCTTGGGAGTCACTCAGGACTGGTGGAGCTTCGAGGATGGCTTTTTGGTCCGCAACCACGTTTGGAGCAGAACAAACACCTACCATCCTGAAGAGTTTCCGGTCTCTGCTGACTTTCTGCAGACCACCACCGGTCTGTCTATGCAGCAGGGAACTCGCACCATCTATATCAACTCCACTGAGGAGCAGTACTTTGCAGATGGATGGACTGGCAAAACCCTGTACCCTCTCACACAGGCAGGTGCAGAGCACTATGGTCTTCACTACATCGGCGACCTCACCAACAAGCTTCGCAGATGCAAGACTTTGCGTGGCCGAGGCCACATCTGGCAAGCAGTTGGGATAGGTGCTCCTCGCAAGAAACATGTCAAGGAGAGCGCCGACCTCAATGAGCGCCGGATGTCACTGGAGGACCGCCTGACCTTCCTGGAGGGCAAGAAAGCAGAGCTCTCAAGCATCTTTGAAAATGGAGTTTGGGAGATTGAGACCGACCCCGCTTCTGTCGACCACAACAGAGTGATGAAAGCTCGCTTTGTTTTGAAGTGGGCAGCGGATGGCAAGGGCGGCCTCAAGGCCAAGGCCCGTTTGGTCCTGCAAGGGTTCTCTGACCCCGACTTGTTGAATGGCGCTCTGGACACTTCATCGCCGACTTTGGCAAGGACCTCTCGACAAGTGTTGCTGGCTATCAGCCAAGTTTCTGGCTGGAAACGCTGGACAGCCGACGTCAGTACGGCATTCCTCCAAGGTGATCCTCAAGAACGTGTTCTTTGGGCTCGCATTCCTCGAGACGCCTGCAACATCATCGGTGTTCCTGCCGGAACATTGATGAGGCTGATCAAACCCATTTACGGTCAAGCCGACGCCCCAAGGCAATGGTTCATTGTGGCCAGAAGGCGACTTGAAAGCCTTGGATACCGAGCTCACCCACTGGATCAGTGCCTCTTCACCTACCACGACTCCGACAAGAATCTGATCTCCATGGTGGGACTCCACGTCGACGACCTTTTGGGCTGTGGCAAAACCGACTCCTCTGAATACGAGTACCTCAAGTCCAAGCTGAAGGAAGCCTTTAACTTCAAGCACTGGACGGAAGAGGGAGACACACCTTTGGAGTTCTGTGGCTGCCACCTGAGCCGAGACAACACTGAGTCCAAGTTGCACCAGAGCGACTACTTCAAGAAGGTCAAGCCCATGACATGCAATGATTACGATGCCAACCGTTCCCTCAACAACAAGGAACAAAGTTGCCTCAGAGCCCTTCTCGGAGCACTTCAATGGCCTGCCACTCAGACCTCACCTCATTTGAGTGCCTCGGTATCTTTGTTGTGCGGCGAAGTCACAGCCGCCACAGGTGACACTGCAGCTCAAGCCAACAAGCTCCTCCGCTTTGCCAAGAGCAACAGCGATGCTGCCCTGATCTTTCGAGATCTTGGAGGGGACATGGAGAAGCTGTGCATGGTGGCTATGAGCGATGCAGCCTGGGGAGTTCGTCGCAACAGCGAATCCCAAGGTGGCTATGTGATCTTCCTCTGCAACCAGCAGATCCTAGAAGATGGCTCTACACAGGACTACATTGTCCTGGACTGGAGAAGTTTCAAACTGCCAAGAGTGAGTCGCTCATCACTCAATGCTGAGAGCCAGGCCTGCTCGGCCGCCATGGACGCCCTGGAGTACCTGTTGATCTTCTGGGAGGGCTGCACCCGACACGACTTCCAACTTCGACAGGTGGACGAGTTTTCACCGACTATGCCCTCGTCACTGGTGGTCGACGCCAAGGCGCTCTACGACTCGCTCAAGGCTGAAACTCCTAGCCTACAAGGCGACAAAAGAACAAAGATTGAAGTCATGGTGACCAAGCAGAAGATGCTGGCAATGAAGTCCCGGCTGAAATGGGTCTCATCTGAGGCTCAAATGGCCGATGGAGTCACCAAGTATGCCGCCAGACAGCTCTTTGCCGATCGTCTTCGTTCTCATCACCTTTCACTACAAGCTGATGTCTCTTTTCAGGCATCCAAGAAGAAGACCCTGGCAGAGCGACAGGCAAGCGCAAGACGCCATGCCATCACTCGGACTGGCAACCCCAACCACTTGGCCTTTGCAGTCCTCACCTCGCAGATGATTGGAGTCAAGGCCATGACGGTGGATGAGGTCATAGCAAATATGCTGTCGCCCGAGATGACAATGACCCTGTATGTCATTGTGATTGGCATGCTGGTATGGCGCTTCCTTTGTGGCAACAAGGGAACTTCATCATGGAGCTCCACGGTTACGAGAACGACCTGGACTATGACTTCAACGAGCTCTACAGCGGCCGAGACACAGACCGAGAAGGAGCCTGAGACCTCCTTTGGTGTCCTCCGCACCGAGAACCTGCGGCTGCAAGACATCGTGAGAGACCAGGAAGCTGAACTATTTGACCTACAAGCTCAATGCAGAGCACAAGAAGAAGAGATTGAGCAGCTCATCGACATCCGAGAGTACATGAGGATTGAGATGCGCGAGATCGACACCGAGTACAAGAAGGCCCGCGACAACTGGATCGATGCGCACAACCGCTTAGCTGCGGTACGTGACCAGCTCTCCAGAAGTTGGGTTCCAGATGCGGTCATCACCACACGCACCGGAAAGTCCTACCACACCTATGCAGATTGTCAAGCTTTGGCTTCAGCGGACGCAACACAGCTGAAGCAATGGAATTGTTGTGCCTTCTGCAGCCAGAAACACCTCGATTTCTGGCGAAGCTACTGAAGAGATGAACCACCACCGGTGTGGATTTCACTCCATGCAATCAGGTTGGAACAGCTTTTGACCGTTCCGGTTGCTGTTTGGCTACCCTGCACCCATGCAGGGGCCCCTTGAGACCTCGTTCATGCTACGCCATAGGCAAAAGACACGCCTCACTGTGTTTTCACTTTCCATCTCGACACTTCGTGCGGTCGCGATACAACACGAGTTTCCACATCCGTGTTTTCATACCTCTAGTTAATCCGAGCCCACAAAGCCCCCCGGAAATTGCACAAATTAAGAATTGGGCGCCAGAACCCCCCCCTCAGTTAACCCGATCCCACAACCAGCTATTGCATGCTATTGCTACTACCACTACCACTACCACTACTACTACCATTACTACCACCACTACTACCACTACCACTACCACTACCACTACGACTACGACTACGACTACGACTACGACTACTACTACTACTACTACTACTACTACTACTACTACTACTATGACTACCGCTACCGCTACAGCTACTCGTTTCTTAGCCGACTAGCAAATTATTGAGGGAGGTGGACCTCATGAGTAATATCTCATGTCTTCTTGACCTTGTTGACCTACCACATGGGGGGGGTTTATTAATTCAGTCGTGACATTAGGTTGGAGGCCATCGCTAGTAGGTCGGAGGCCATTGCTATTAGGTTGGAGGCCATCGCTATTAGGTCGGAGGCCATTGCTATTAGGTTGGAGGCCATCGCTATCAGGTATAGTGATCAAAAATTGCTGAGCGAACTCCGTCCTGGCCTTGTAGTAGTCTATCATCTCCTTTTCACGTGTGGGAAAGCGCCAGCGAGCGGGATGATCTCCCTTCGGTTCTTTTCTACAGCTACTGAGCAATTGGAGTTGAACAACAATATGGAAAAGAAAAATAGGTCACATCTGGTTTCATAGATGTGTCTTCATTCACAGTGAGTGTGTCTAGTGTGTGTGTGTGTTTTTGTTTTAACCAATCTTCGGCTACAGAAGTAGAGCTTCGAGGCTTCGAGCTTCAGGTTTGCTTCATTAACATCTCAGAATTGGATAATTTGGATCCACAAACATGTTGGGGACAAAACAGTATATAAAACAGGACCATCCAATGGGCGTCCAATGGACATCTCCAACTAGTGTGTAGGGTAGTCCGGCCAGGACACCCGGACAGGATGGTATCTTGGACCCTGAGTCAGCCTAAGTCCCATTCCAGTTGGATGGAATGGTATCGAATGTGGTAATCTTCAACTGTTGCCCTAATGATGACATGACGTGAAAGGCTGCACTTGGGCGTGCAAAGAAACAGATTCAGCTTCATTGCCAATGCCCTGAAGGTTTAGATCATGCTCCACTGCTGATCTACAGCTTTCTTCACATCTGGAGTATCTACTCTGGAGGGAGGATGTCTCAATCCAAGAAAAACTTGCATCATTCAGATACATCCTGAAGACTGAATCAGAGGCCCAAAATGAGAAAACAGCTCCCTCCTCAGCAGTCTTCTGCATCCCAGCGCTGCTTCCACTCTCCTGATGGCACACAATGACTATCTTTTTGCAAAGCGAAAAGCAGCTGCCTGGGGTAGCGGTCTTTCAGATGAACTGCAACTGTTAAATCCGGCTGAAACCATCAGCCGGGATTCTCCATGAACTTGGAGGGTCTACTCCTCGATGGTTGGTGATTCTTGAGGTTCCAAATTGCCTAATTAACCACTTGAACCTAAGATGACGTTATGATGACTTGAACTGGACAAACAAATGGAACTGGAGATGCACCTGCGTAATTACCCTTGTGCCTGCCTGGTGGCCCTTCATGGTTTTCATGACTTGCCTGTGTGGGAACACGGACAAGAACCAACAAGTCTTGTAGCCTGTAAGGCTACTCCCGCAAGAGGTGAGCACCAGAACCTTGAAGTGGTACGATGGGAATTGAAGAAATGCTCACCATGTTCTGAACATGTCTGAACCTGGTATTTAGGAACTATACGATTGGAGATTTTGGTGGCAACTCTAGGCTTAAGCCTGTGCCAGTGTCGCCAGCGTCCTCTTCTGTACTTCAGTCCCACATGACCAAGGTCTATCGGTCTATCGGTCTAAACGTGCACCGGATACGACTGGGATTCTCACGACACCCTCAGCAGCAAGGCGGCTGCAGCAACAGCCAAGGGACATTCTTAAAATCCAAGTCGTACTTCTTGAGCTCTGGCCTGTCGTGTGCTGCAAGCGGCATGTGCCACAAAGCCACTATTTTGGGGGCAACAGGAGCCTACGCACCCTGCCACAAAGGATTCGGTCTAGTGCACCCCCAAAAATGTAATCCAAAAACTGTCAAAACCCGATGAATATGCTTCTATCCTCACTTTTTGCAAGTATACACAACTCGCAAAATCAATTGACCTGCAGGTTAGCTATAAGATGCTATAAGTGATCTTGTGAATGCTTTATGTTACTGTACCGACTGTACCAAAGAAGATCGAGACTGAAGTTTGGTGGAGAGACCCCTTGGCCTTCCAACCAACACCGCCGATCCAACACCCGCCCGAACGTGTTTATAACGTCCCCCCTTCAGACCTCCTCCAAAACCTTGCGGAAACCACAAAAACATCAAAAACATACCAAAAACCACGCAGGGCCGGAACTCTGAGACCGGTGTATCCTCGATCGAGCAGGCCGCGAGCATCGAGCCGACCGATCGCCGCTCTGGGCCGCCCGGGCTTCCAGAATTCGGAGGCCGCCACGTCGGTGCCGATCTGCACCTTGCCCTCGTGGCCCGACTTCTTAATGGCCTGGAGATGGGACCGGTCGACGGACATGGTCTCAGCATCTCTCAGCATCTCTCAGCTCAAAAAAAGCGAATTGGTCAAAGGCTTCCGGATCTGAGTCGCCCAGAAACCTTTGACAGGTCGTCCGAGCCATGAAGAACCAGCCCACAGCCTGGCCTTTTTGCAAGAAACAACGCCCCAAACCGATGGAATAAACACATACCAGGACCGTCTGGGTGTCCTGTCTGGACATCTCCAAGTAGTGCAGGCTTGTCCAGCCAGGACACCCAAATGGTCGGATGGTCCTGATCAAAGCACCCTTCGAACGCGCACAACTGCGGTGCCGCAGAAGTGCCACCCAGTGAGCCCCAAGACCTCGAGCAGTGATTTCTTCTGGTCTTTTGGTGATGGAGAACTGGGCCTCCAGTTGTACCTCAGGTAGAATATATGACTCGACCCTCCTGGCACCCGGGCCCCCAGTCCCACCCCACCTTGGAAACGAAGAAGTCTGGGTATCGAGAAAGATCGAAAAAATGAGTCTCCAGTTTCAGGTCGAAACAGCCTCCATCAGCACATCGAGGGCTTCGTTGTTGTCTTGCACGTTCGGGGCAAAGCCCTCAGTGCCACGCACCAAACGCGGGCGGCCGGACGCTTGGTCACGCCTAAAGCGGCGAAGACACGTGCAACGCCACGTGAAGAGAAAGACACCCGGGGTGTATTACCCTATGACCACATACCTTCATTGGGTGCCGGTTATCTATTAAAACGACACACCCACATCCCATGTTTGGGTATCAAGATCCCGGGTTATCACGATCGATCGTTCCTTCAGAAGAATCCTGGGGCGGATCTGCAAGACTCAGGCATGTTTTTGTGTGTTTTGCATGAAGCTGGAAAAGGTCATCCAAAAACTGTTTTGCCTCCCATCCATTAGGGTACAAGAATGACAAACGGTGGCAATGTTCTTTGAACGGCAACTGAAGCCGTTTCCAGCATGGGTGACCTGTACAAAGCAAGCTTCTGCGTTGAGCATACTTATATAGGGAGGCGATCTGGACATTTAAAGCATACATGTATATAGTGTAACTCAATATAACTCATATTCTATGCACTCCTAAAGGCAAACCCCTGAAACAAATGATGGAAGGGGGTTTTCCTTCCACAGTCTATAGATGTTGATCACCATCTCACAGAAGGAATTGTTTCAGCAACGACTCTTGTTCGATCCCGAAAGAAAATCAGTCGGAAGGTGCATTCCTCTTGGCTGGCTTGATGTCTGTTGCTCTGAACCTCTCTCTTTGGCCTGTTCCAGACCTGGAAGCGCGCGCATATGTCCGACTTACGCTGGGCCCCAAGCTCCCTCATCTCCCACGTTGCAGGCATCCTGCACCGGCAGAAAGACATAGAAAGACTATAGGGCCCCTGGCTATTGATACGTTGTCACAAGAATCCTGGCAATCGTTTTGGAGGCCATGTATACCCCAGATCTTTTGGAGACCAGGAGACCAGATCCATCGATCTGGAGAACTTCTAAGCCCGGCCGTTCTTTTGTGCGTTTAGCCGTGCGAAGCCCTCTCCTGGCCATACTTCTTTTTGATCACACTCTTCAGGTTGTGATAAACCTCCGCACCAATCTCCATGGCGTTCCGAAAGGAGGTCGCACCTTTGTACAGACGGAGTACCGCGCAGGCGGAGCAGGCGGACCGAGGGAGTACCGCATGTGAGGTGTCACATCTTTGCAGATCTGTGCTTTCGGTTCACAGCGTCCGTTGATGTGGGAGGAGAAGTGACTTGGTTGATGCTTCGCTACGAACAGTGCCATGGATGTGTTGAGAGTTCATCATTGAACCGGGGTGTGGTCCTTTCTCCCGGTGGGAGGGAGTGTCTTGCAGGCACTTCAAACAGGTTGTACCATTGGGTTTCAATATGTTTAAATTTTAGGAAGTTTTAAGGTGTATAACTGCACATAGTACATGAAATACAGTAAATTTTTGCAGCTCTCGCAGCTATTGCCCAGCTTCCAACCGTTCCTGTGCGAAGGAGGGTAGGAACTGACACTGTACCTCCATTCTACGCATTCTGGAACGACCAATCTTGGATGTTCTGTGCCTTTTTCGGACACTGCCATCTGCAGTCACCTCATTGTGGCCTGAATGCGGATCCTGTGCCCACAGAGTCTCCCCATGTCTCCCCAAAACTGTCCAGCCCTAGCCCGTGCATCGGCCGGCGCCTGTAGGGAGGATCATGAACTCTTGACAGGCCAAGCGATTCCCCGCATGGCTTCCACCATTGATCACATTAAAGGAGGGCACCTGAGCTCAGGATGGCTCTGCAAAGTCTTCCGCCCAAACCCGTTTTGTTTTCCCATGCGAAACATGCACAGCATTGGCTTGAATTGACTATACCAGACCGGATCAACCGACCAGGGTCAACCTACGCTCCTGGTGAACCAACTACCCGTCGTCTGGGATGGCTCACCAGCGGTCTTCAGACCGGTTCGTGGAGTGTCGAACTAGGAAACGTCGAAACGGTCAACGGGTCTTTCAACCGAGCTGGGTCTTGGAATCGGTTTGAAGCCGTTTTGGCCCATGTAATTCAAAGTAAGGACTGTCGGATTCGGTCGGAAAAAGACTGCACCTTTCCAAGAGGAATTCAAAGGAATGCGGAAAGTGAGAACATGTGCCATGGCGGCTCGAACTTCTAACTGGTATCGCATTGGTTGGAAAGCGCTGCAACGAAAACAATCACAGCTATAGTTTTGTCCTGCAGGCGAGTCTGCAACAAAAACACATGCGGCGACGGATTCCCGAAATACCTCCTGGTTCCACGTGACGGGCATCACAAACTCCTCCGTGGGCTTGCCCGCCAACTTCGCAATGTACCTCAGCCGCTAGACCGAGCCGCGTACCGACTCCAAAACCGACTCCAAGGTCCCTCGGAGGTGGTTGCAATAGCGGCATGGGCCAAGGATACACATGGCACCCCAGGTGGTGGAGAGATTGTTGGAACTGCGGGCAGGAACATCATCAGTGCTGGAAGTTCCCAACATGTTCGAAGGATAATCAACAAGCAGTTCTTTTGGGCCACGTTCACCACAGAACTTTCAAGATCATGCAGTAAAGAGATCATGTAACTATAGATGTAATTAGTATTCGAGGCCAAAGCCCTGCAGTCTTCTTTTTGCCCTACCACTTGGTGTTTCATAGCATGGGGTCGAGGCGTGGATCGGGTGGAGGATGAGTGAGAATGTGCGACCAGGCCTGGCTCTGGGGCATCTACTTTTGTGATCTGGTTTGGTAGGTCTAGAGAAGGCTCCACTGCAACTCACGGGTGTCTCCAATCACGACCCATGTGCCATCCCCGGCCGCCAGTCGCCTCCAGACTTCAAGGGGTGACATGGAAGGCCACAGTCAGCGGCACGTCGGACGTCACGTCGGCCGTCCACGATCGCTGGCCTCTCGACCTTGTTCGACCTCTGACTTGACATGGGCGTGACATGGTCGTGTTCTTGTCGCTTGGACATGAGGAACAACTTGTTCCCGAAATGGTGCTTAAACGTTGAAATGAGCAAAAAGGATCAAAAAGGGCTCATTGCAGCTGCTGAAAAGGGGGCTTTGATTGGTCTCGTTTGGGATTTGTCATCTACTGCTTCTCAAACAAGCTCCCTTTCACTGGGTCTTTTGACCAAATTGTCCCCAACGTCGCCCGTGAACAACATATATTCCCCAACTATGGTTGAGACATACACCGGACACACACAACCGTATATCCTTCACCTTGGCAACTTGTTCCAAGGCGTTGAAAATCTTTTGGAAGATCGCAGCTTCGGGAATTGCTTCGGTTTAGAGATCAAATTCTTGTCCTGAATTGCAGTACAAGATGTACTAAGAATAATATCTCTAAACCAAAGCAATTTCGTTTGTCTTGGTCTTTCAGCTGGAGTCGGACTTACCAAAAAACCCTCCGAACATGTCCTAACCAGTTTCGGTCCGGTTCCGCACCCCCTTGTTCCACCAGTGGCGTTCGGAGCCGCCCAGCTGCTGGTAGAGGGGTACTTCTTCCACCGCGGCCCCCGCACGGCAAATGGCCATCGACACCTGGCGTCCCACCGCGATGGACGAGTCGGACGGCCCAGTCGGAACGGCGGACGTCGGCGATGCGAGGCTGACCCGGGGGCAGTGCCAAGACATCATAATTACCCAGACGCGACTAATGGGACTGCTATATATATATATATATGCCTACATTGGCCCCTGAAACCACCCCAACTGATCGGCATATATGCATGGCATACATGGAGCGTCTGGGTTAGGGATCCACTGCCACCTACCTTCTCAGAAGGCAATTCGAAACTATTTGTGTAGGCGCCAGGGCCCAAGATGGCCCAGATGATCGTACCTCCTTCTCGAAGGTAGATCCGCAGATCGCTCTTTCGGGGATGGGGCCGGACGTTGGACGGTTGTCCACCATGGTGGGTTGGGCGACCGCAAGCGTCGAGCACCTGCTCTACACCGCAGGATCCACTCGACCGCAAAGCTGCCGAGGCACTGCTAGGATCGCATTGGCACCAAGCTTGGACTTAGACCATCCCCATTCCTGAGTGTAGTCGACATCCGTACACCACCATGGGAGCAAGAATCATGAAAGAGAAGGGTCAAAAACAGCGCGGTGCCCCTCAAAATGTGAGTAAAAGAATGGCCGACGTGTACGGGGGATGTAGTGTGAAACAGGTTTCGGGGCTCTAGATGGTTGTATAGGTTTCATCCATAGTGAATTGATGCCAAATGGATCCATAGCCCAATTGAACCAGAAATGTATACATTGAGGTCATGAGTATATAGCGCAAACAGGCAAAGCTCAGCCTTCACTGGCTTTCACTGGCTATGTCAACTCTGACTTTGCACATTGGTCAGACCTTTCATTTCTGTTCAATCATTTGGGTCTTCACTGGAGGGAAGACCATATAGTAAAAATATGTAAAAATTCTACGGGCATGTCCTATACACTGGGCACATCCCAAATCCACTACAGATCACCTGAGCATCCTCTCCATATCCGCTAAAACACCTCTCCTGACAGGTCAGTCCCATCCCACCAGTCCACCACACCTCTGATGTCTTCCGTTCCCCTTCTGGAAGGTTTCAGACCGTCCAAGAACATTAGCACAACACATTATAGGTTGGTGCTTTCAACTCGCTTGAAACATATTACAAAAGGTGGTGTTTTTCAGATCAACGTGATCAACATATCACTGTTTCACCACCACTCGCTGAAACCACCACCACCGACTCGTTACTCGACCGTTGAACCCAGAAACGTACCGCCTCCATCTCTTCGACCCCCCCTTTCGGCGCCGTTCAGGGGCGTTTTTGCTGCCATCCATCTCTTCGACCATGAGCTTGTCCAAGGTCGCTTGCCTGAAAACATGAAGTGACCTGTGTCAAGCAGACCTGCAGGACCTGGCCGACCTGACCCAAACAAACGGGAAGCGCGAGATGCGTGGCACAACAAAGCATGTCGACATAGTGTCTAAATCAACGTCAAAATCTCGATATCAGTATAGTTACAGTAGGAATGTAATTTGCATCTCCGCATGAATCAAACAGGTCCCTTGATCTGAGTTGCTCGGTGACCTTCATTCCCATCAGCTTTGGCGCGATTACGCTGTTGATGTTGGCCACCGCTTTCAGGACACCTGCGCTGTTCAGGGTGAAGTGCTGGCCCGGGACGAGGGAACCAAACACGGTTTCCACGGCGCAAAAAGGAATGGCGCGTGTTGAAGGAAGACATCATCCACATCTGAGTCGGGAGTTTGGGGAAGCACCACCGGCACCTACCTCCCCAGCCCTGGAACTTGGGGATGTTTGCATGTTCATTGAGGAAGAGGTGGATTTGATCGAGCATGTCCTGGGGGTACAAGGTGCCATCTCCATCATCTCATACTAATGTAGAATATTGATCAGTAATTTGATGTAATTTGGATTTCAAAACCAGTAAAACCTTTTCTACCTCCCGCGGTCACGTCAGAACCCCTTTGAGGTGACCAGTACCGCCAGCTTTCCACTGGACAGTATGCGAAAATGTCTTATGTACATGCAACAAAAGGCGATCAACGGAACTCAGCAATAGGAAAGTTCCACGCAGACATAGCTGCGCCCGTGACCTTTCGAGCGACCCTCACTAACAGGTGGAGAGCAGCGTCGGAAAAGAAAGGACGACAGCCGCATATGGTGCCGGGTGGCATACTTTTGCCCCAAGTGTGAGCAATGTGTGGCTCATGCTTCCCAGGTGTGCAGTCAAAGGGAAGTTTACGTCTGCACAAGGCAAACGAGTTCTTAATCCACTTGGCAAGTGCTTGGAAAGTGAGATGCTCGTCGTCAAACAAGGGACACGGAACCTTAAGGAAAACAAAAAGCACAGCAAGCTCAATATAAGAGACCTTCAGCTCCGCAGCACAAGACCATTTAAGCAGCGAAACAAAGGAGCCGAAACAGTGCCACTCACTTTCGGATCCAGTCCATTGGGCCAACGGTCTAGGCCACACATGTTGGACTTGCCATGAAAAATCTAAAGGATTGGCCTGCCACTGAAGTTGTGGGAACTGTTCAGCAGGTGTAAGCGTTTCCTCAAGTCTCTCATCTTCAGTCTCTTGCACTTCTTTGTGAACATCTTGGCCCAACATCAAGCACAAGCGTGTGAGCCACTCTTGGCGAAGCAACACGGCCTGGGTGATGCATGGATATATGGACTCAAAAATAGGTGCATGCGAGCCTGCAGCTCGCTTTGCTGCATGATCAGCTTCACGATTCAACGTGATATCCTGAACTGTGGATCCATGAGCCCTTGCCATGTCCTCGTCAATAAGGTGCACTGGTATCTGTTCCAATTGATGGGCTGGAATCCACACTGCTTGGAGTGGACAAGGGGCAACCAAAATACGCTGCTCCCAGACATGAAACAATGCTTGCCACCAAGCTGGATGAGACCACTCGGGCTGGATGGCATGATTGACACACATGCACGAAATTTGCTCAACTAAAGTTTTGCAATCGCTTCTAATTTCAACAGGTCCGGTGGCTGAAAGAAAAGCATAAAGCAAAGCCCACAGTTCGGCAGTGTAGCTGCTGATGGTCCAGTGACATACAGGCCCGGAGGCAGTAACAATCTGATTGCAGTCCACGACCGCAAAGCCTGCACAAGTGAGAGCAAAATGCTTGGACCACAACACGGACCCATCCGTCCAGAGTACTTTGGTGGGTTGGTCTGACAACCATGTGGGACACGGAACAGAGCTCACCTGGCTCACTTGCAAGCGATGGGCCAAAATAGACCATGGGTGTTCTACAATGCCGAGTAGCTCGAAGTTGCGTCCAAGCTCATGGGCAGCAGGTGGCGGAAAGTCATGTTGAACAACGGGACAATCGCGAACTAAATGAGGAAGCGACTCCTTGTGTCCATGACAAAGGCGACACTCTGGGGTATCAATAAGCTTGGCAGCTGCAAGGCGATCATTAGTCAAAACACATCCAACCTGTTGGGCTTGAAAGTACGCAACGGCAGGCGTCAAACCCTCTGTCATGAATGTAGGCTTTTGAGCAAAAAGCGTTGACAAATGATAATCAATGATACCACCCGGTGCAAGAAAATCTTTCCTGGATTGCAGCGAGGCCTGTGCATAACAGGCTTGTTTGGCAAGCTGTTTCAACACGGGCTTAATTTCACGAACAGACAGAGCCAAAAAGTCAACAACCTTTTGGTGTCGGAAATGGATCATCCCTTCTGTGTCAAGCTCTAAACTGAAAAACCTAAAGGCCTGTCGAAGGTTTTGAGCCACGGAAAACCGAGACGGACTTGCTTGCGAAAGCAAATACCGAAAGCGAGGTACTTCGGCTGGGAAAAGGTGTAAAAACCTATAACAGTCCAGAATGACATTGTAGTGACGAGCACACAGTGGCTCAACTCTGTGTGGCTGAGACATGAAAGCAAAGACCAAGAAGCGCGAGCGCCAATGGGGCCTTTTGTTCCAAAGAACGTTCACAATCTCACCTTGGATCTTGGCAAGCATCTTGGAGGGAATCCCATTAATGGCAGCGTTGTAGGTGCATTGCGGCATGACTTTACAGCCAATAATTTTGGCCTTTTGGGGGGCCGAAATGGGAAGAGCCCCAATGTTCTTAATGTCAGCAACGATCTTGGCGCATTTGGTTTCGGTGAAGTGCAGGGCCACACGGTCGCTGGTGCGAACATGCACACCTAAGACTTCCAACTCGAGAGCCAATTTCATTTGAGGGAACAGGGATTTGATACACTTACGGGCGGGGCCAGTGGTCCCCCACACAGTACACTTGGAGGAATTCATGGTTTGACCAACCAGTTCGTCCCAGCACTGTGTGATGCGCATTGCTTGGAACAACTCTTGGCTGTGAATCAACCGTGCCCACAAATATGCGTCATCAACAAAAGCTTTGGCGGTGACATGTGGCAACGCATCAAGCATGTGAATCCATGCCTTCATATGCACATTAACTGCAATCAGTGAAAGTGAGCATCCCTGAGCAACACCATTGGTGCCATGGGTGGCAGTAGGAGCAAACCACGACTTGAACTGGAGATGCCTCTCGAGTTGGGAGTACAGTTTCAAAAACACTGACACAATGCCTTGTGGAACCCCAAAGGCAAGCATTAATGCCCCCGCATACTGCGGCAGAATACGGTCGAAGCACTTAGCCTTGTCGATTTTAATGCCAATGAGCGGGTCATTTGCATTCTTGGCACTATCAAGTGTGAGAGCCAAATGGGTGTGTATGGCGGACATCTGGCGTGTAGGGATGCCACCTTGCAGTTGAGGTGGCATAACATTGAGTTGCCAATCACGCAAATGCTTAAACCGAGCTCCAGTATAAGCTAAAAGGATGACCGGAAGCAAAGTGATAAGACGTTTCTGCAGCGGCTCGGAGCTTCCATTTTTATTAAGGATAACTTGTTTTGCAGTTGCCAGGGACTGCGGCATTGGACAAGTGCCTTCTTCAAGTTCCTTAAACAGCATGGCAAAGGGCTCGAAGCATTTTACAGGGAGCGATTGCATTTCAATTGTTCTCCATCCATCCAAACCCGGAGCGGCGTCAGGGCGCCGTCGCTTGATAATGTCTCGCAGTGCAACTGCTGTGACGTCAGGGACAGAGCATGAGTGTGAGAAGTGGTGAATCTGGGGCCACACAATTTCCAACATCTTAAGTGGGTGTGGGAAGCCTGCGTTGGCACTATACACCGAATCCCACTGTTGATTGATCTCACGAATGGCCTCATTGGGGGCAAAAACAATGTTCTTCTCCTGGTCCATGATCAAGTTCGCAGGCTCATCGGACGTTTTATTACGAAGATGACGAAAGAGATAAGCGGAGCCAACTTTAGCTGAGTCTTGAATTTTGTCCTTCCAAGCTTGGATACGCTTTAACTTGCACTTGAGTTCTAACACTGCTTGGGTATCGAGAATCCATTGGATGGCTTGAGTGATCTCAATTAGGGTCGGACTACGTTCATAGGGCCAGAGGCAAGGCGCACGAAGCCAAAACAAGCGGGACCACGTCTTGACAATGGTGCGCTGACAAATGAAGCGCCGAGTGCTAGATTGAATGTCCTGGGTGTGGAATGCTTGCATCTCCAAGAGACCACGCAAAGCATTGGAAAGCCACGAGGCCCGTTGCGTGGTGGCAGCACCATTGTGTGCCTGACCTGGGCAAATTTGCTTGGGTCTGGTTCGAACTGCAGTGCCCCGTTCTCGAAAGCCAGGGCCCCACGAAGCACCTTGATCCAACAGAGTGTTGATACAAACACGGTTGGCAAAATGCCATTTACTATCAATGTCCTCATGGCATGGAAAGTCAAGCTCTGGAGTGGATTCTTGAGGTGCAAACCCTGGCGGGAAGACAAAAGGAGCAGGTTTGAACAATTTGAAACCGCATTGCCAAATTGTTCCCCAGTTGAAAGTGGCTTTCACAGGTCTGTGTTGAACACGAAACATTGGAAGAACCTCGACCGAAGAAAGAGCGGCAGTGGCAACCGAATTGGTCAAAATACCGTCAATCGAGCTGCATCCATCACCGTACCCCGTGAAGTTTCCATCCATGGAAAAGGTGAGTGGACGAGCTGAGTCTTCTGAAGACGAGAACTGAAGGGAATCGTTCCAGTGCATGAACGAGGTGGCATGAGCAACAATCGGGTACTGAATGGGGGGAAGCTGAAAATCCCCAGCAACAATGATAGGGACATCACCCCATTGGCTTGCAATGGCAAACACATCCGACAGGAGGGCATCATTAAAGTCAAGGACATGCTTGTCCGCAGATGCAGCAGTTTTACAGTACACTGAGAAAACAAGAACACGAAGGTGTTTCATGACCTGGATCCAACATGCCTGAACACGTTTGGTCTTGCGAAGCTTAGCATACAAACCGGTTGCATCCTCGCCTGGTTGTAGTTCCACAGAGAGCTCCCGTGGTGCAAGGATGGCGACACCTCCGTGGGGTGTCCGTGTCACACCGTGCGAGGACAAAAGACCAGGCAAAAGTTCACCGTGGAAAAGATGGAGACCTTCCTGTTGGACAAGTTTGGACGCATGCTGAAAACCATTTTTGCCAACCCTGGTTTCTTGGGCACACACTGCACTACTTTGGCAAGCTTTCCATGACGTGGAAG